ATCTGTGAGTATGACAGCACCAGACCTCCTAGTGGCAGGTGTGTGGATCATGGTGACTTATGTTTGTGCCCAGAATGGTACCGACCCAGAATGGTACCGACCCAGAATGGTACCGACCCAGAATGGTACCGACAGTGGCACACGGATCCTCACGCGGCAAGCTTGGATACAATCCCTCAGAAAAATGGCAGGGCAAGTTCACTGAACTCCTTGGTGTGAATGCAGGGGCGTCGGAAGCATTTTGAATGTGGGGGGGACACACTGGCGGGGGGGTCTGGGGACCCTCCCCCAGATATTTTTTAATGAATTAGATGCCATTTCCTGCATTCTGTTGTATTTTTAGCAGGTTGTTAAACACCTAATTTTACCTACAAAAGACATATTTTATGTTAAATGTGGGGGGGTCCAAATGAATAATTATGAAATGTGAGGGGGACACGTCCCCCTCAGATTTAATGGCAGCGACGCCCATGGCTGAATGTAAGTGGCATCTGTGAGGAAACACGGGCTTTGAGCTGTTTTCTTTTTGCATTTAGTTGCTTAGCAGACCATTTCGGTAACAGGAAAATCAAGTCAACAAACAATTCCTCATGTTACCAGTTCATACAGCTTGTTATTTCACAAAGCCGATCTTTTGGTCACAGACACTAAACCATTACTACATGGCAAAGAGAACAATCACCTACATGAAAAATGTAGAGAAATTTTGACTTAAAGTATGCCAATAAATTTACAAAAGTTTTACAGAATTAAGCAACGTCCCAAGACGTTCTGTGAGAGCTGTGCATGAGATCTCATGTTTGAATGCACAGAACTGCACCATAAAATTGTAGCCAGAGTGAGTTGAGAGGAATGGGTCCTTCGAGGGCTATAAGGTTTTAATTCCCCTGATAAGAGCACGCGGTCATTCAGCATCGCGTCATATCGCCTTAACACAGTCACGTCACGTGTGTTTTGTTTTTCCCTGTTACCCAAGGTGACGGAGGAAGTCGCCCAGGCGGAGGGAGCAAACAATGCTGAATGTCAGAGAGACATCAGCAACACCTGCAGCTGAAAGGTAGATTTAAAAAAAAAAAACTGAGAAGTAGTTCCCCAGCTTTATGATGTGATTAAAGACTCTTACACTGATACAATTGAACACAATAGCAGGACATCTTGCATTTGTGCAAACACCTGGAATTGAGCTCATGGGATAGATTTGATGGATGAAAATTTGCCATAAGGATCAGCATTGAACAAGCTCAGATACAATCCCTCAAACATTTCAGTGATCAACAGTTGTCAGAAGCTACCTTTAAATCCAGGTCTGGGCTAGCACAAATGACCTTTTTTCCACAGCGTATAGGTGACAGCAAAAACTATGCCTTTGTGCAACTACTGATGACTGCAGAGCTGTTTCAGAAAGTTCCAAAGTTGCAAAGAGTCGGAAGACTTTTGGTAAATTTCCAGAAAACTTCCAGGAATTTTCCATGGGAAATAGGGGTGGAAAACTTCCGGAAACTTTCCATGGGAATTTCAGTTGGGGAATTTTGAAAATACTGAACTCCTTTGAACTCTGCCTGAGAGAGAAAGCAAACTCTATGAAAAATACAACATAAAATATGACTTATAAACAGTGCACTTTGATGCAGATGCTTATTTTGGGGTGTTTTTACACAGACATAATTACTCACAAGCACCTGGTTACACAATGATATTACTATTAGTGCCATCTACATATAAGTTCCCTGTTATAGGCTAACCTGCAATTTTGCAGATTTACAGTTTATTCCCATTAATTTCCATATATTCCCCTTAATTCATATGGAAAGTTTCCAACTTCCCCCCTAGTTCCAGTGAAAAGGGGAGTGATAATGTAGCCAGCCAGATGACACATGACAGTAGTCAGCATATGTCCCACATCAAGACTTGCTGCGGGCAGTGTGGCCTGTTCATTCACAGCTGGCAGACGATGCTGCTGCCTGTCGCTTTGTAAGATGCAAGAAACCTTTCACTGCGCAGGGGTCCCAGGCAGTACTAATTATCGAAACACATGCAACGTTATGCAACATGGGTACTTTTAGCAAGTCAGCAATTTAAAAATCCATTGAAAAATCCAATAGTGTGAAACACTATGTACAACTGCACTTAGAGTTAATTCTTAATTTTGCATATCTTTGTAAGGTCAACTGTACTGCTTGCACTCTTTGAATGGGTGGTTAACGCAGTGAGGAGTATAGATACCTGTATCTAACACTACTTTCAGCTATATTTGCCTTTAAAAACCTTTTTGAGCTTCTTCGGCACCCCTTTTGCCCTTCCAGCCAGGACCCCAAGCCTAAAGTCTTGTTGTTGAGTTCAGTCCCTTAACACCCACACCAACTGCAGGCAAAGGAGAGGTGAATGTGTGTTACAGATGTGAGCAACTGGCCGCGTTAAAAAATCAGGTCAGCAACCCGCATCACTGACCTGGCTGAGAACGATCTTTAGCAAAATGCCAGAAACACGTATGCAAATTAAAAGCTCCTATAACAATTCCAGAGCCGTTTAAACCTTTTATTGTTAGAAGTAACGCATCAAGTTTCCCAGTGTTATATTTTCATACAACCTGCATACATTCATAAGCAGTACAGGCTGGCACACTAGCACCAACATATAGACACACGCGCGCGCGCGCACACACACACACACACACACACACACACGCGCGCGCGCACAGAGACAGCGAACCCATATACAGAACTGTAACACATAGAATGCCATGATACCCTATTCCAAACAGTAACTTAATTTATACGACACGTTACATGAACTGCCATAATTGTTGTAATGATTAAGAAATTCTGATCATTAATTAAGAATATCTAAAAATACTGAATTTAAGGCTAAATGAAGTACACGCCCAAAATCGCCAGTATGAATTATTTAACAGCTCTGACACATTCGGCATACTGCGGCAGTAGTACAAATAAACTTTCAGAACAACATGCATAAAACTATATGCTCGCATACAGCTGCAAAACTGTGAATAAAACGATGCGGGCTATGGGTCAGTAGGCTTGGCAGCACGTTCACACCTCACACCGACTTCACGTACATCACAAGAACTTTGTGCTGATGAGACAATAGTAGACAGCCAACGCATTTAATACGGGAGATACCAATGGTTGACATCGAAAGGTGTGACGGCCAGACCGGTGTATTTTTTAGACAAGTTGTTCCACAGATATAGCTGGCCATTGGTCAGATCTCGTCCATAAGTTTTGAGAAAGACCTATACTTTTGAAACAGTTGGCTTCAAGCCTCATTTAATTGTACAAAAGTGTGTCTGACCTCAGACAATTCCCCTTTGTAAAAAATGGAATCGGCTCACTCAATCATGTGCAGTTCCATTTACAGCGCATGGTTTCACCTTCGGGTTTTTTCTTTATCTATCCTTACTGAAATTGAATACACGCAACGGTAAGTTTTTATGTTATTTGTTACTAACTGATGTTTTGCGATGTTTCTGGCTGCAGAAAATGCTTAGAGAACTTCATCTGTATGGATGGGGGAAAGTACTTATGACTTGAGAATAATAAACTTTCCATCTGCCAAGAAATGCATCGATTTCAAGACAGAGGTAGACCGGGCCGTCCTCTTGAACATTTTAGGTCGCATTGTATCAGCGTTCAGTCTGTCACAAAGTGGCAAAGGCTGCACTGCCTAGGCGATGATGACAAATATCTAGGAATGATGAGGAAATTCATTAGTCCCGAAATGCGTCAGATCCTAATCTGAGCGCACACAGTAATCTTTACTATACTTACTGGAGAAAACGACCTTTTCCAGTTTGCAGCTCTGTAGGTCGGATATATAAATAATAGTGATGTTACCGTAATCACAGTAACAGTGTAAGCTCATAACCTCTTTCCTGTGCGAAAGACCACGTTAAGCCAAACAAAAAAAAATGTAACTGTTCGACGTCAGAATGCGAAACAAACACGGAACATCGGGGATTTAATAATTAAAAAGCAACGCCGGTGATGAAAAATTTACAAGAAGCAGAGTTTTAGAAAATTAGCCAAGGGACCTGGATGGGGGTGGGGGTAGTATGGGGGTTGTAAAGTAAGGGTGTGTTGGGGGCGGGGGGCGGTGGGGGTGTTGTGTTTGAGGTTGATCTCTTTACTTATGAAGTTTGCGAAGATGCTCTGTGATTAATGGCGAGCGATCAGCTCGTTAGAAGTTATACTTTTTCGTTTTTGAACCTCGCTGTCCTAATAAAATCCATGCTGTTTAAACTTCACATTTTAGTTTAATGTCCGGGGAGAGTTGGCAGTTTTTTTGCCTATGCATACACTTACTTCTAAAATGTTCCGGGCAATTTGTGTTAACTATTTCTTAGTATAGCCTACTGTTACATTGCATTTTTATTTGGAAATAATGTGTAAAAATAATTTAACTGATACCCCTAAAGACATGGATCAAGAGTCACATAGTGCAAAAACTAATCTTATAAACCAATAATATGGACTTGACCGATTGATATTGTGTAGACATTTGCAGTGTAATATATGTAGGCTATATTAAAATAATTTAATGTATTGTGTGCTATATACAGGGTAGCATCGTAACATACAGATTAAGTCATTTTTAATCAACTGTCATATGTGTGTAACAGTTTTGGTTTATTTGACAAATGAGATTATATATATATATATATATATATATATATATATATATATATATATATATATATATATATATATATATATATATATATATATATTATGACGGCTTTTAATCTCAGTTCACAAATTGTGTGATAATGTCCACGTATTCCGCGGTTAATGTTGTGCATCTGAAACCCAAAACGCCTGGATGGGTCTGTAGAATAACGAAAAGGTTCCGCTATTGCGTTCACCTGATGGCTGCTGGCGTTCGCAGTCAATCAGTGTAATGGCCAGGGCCGATCTGGACACGTCCCCCGCCCCCCGCTCCTCGAGCTACTTGTCATCCTTACTTAGTTTCAGGGACGTCACCCGAGGAGCCTGGTCTCCGCACAGCACAAGCGGCGGGGACCTGCGAGGTGCATCGGGCAAGCGGAACTTTAGGAACCGGTATAACGCCGAAGGAACGAAAAGGCGCCGCCAGCTCGACCTCGGCAAATTCACGTAGGAAAAGAGAGGATCGATATGACTCTAGGGAACGAAATGTAACATTGTAGCCCTTGGACGTGAGTCTGCGTAGCCGAGAAGAGGTATTATTGTCTTACTGACACGAAGCAGGCTGGTAAGGAAGTTATGTTACTATTTAAAGGTTTCGCTTGTTATTTCGAGGGAGCGCAGGCTGGTGTGACGGTCGTTGCAGTTGGATGTAATGGAAATCTATCTTAAGTTATCTTGAATTTCTCTTGTATCGCTCAGGTGGAGTAATGGGGTGTCGCGGGCGAAATTCAGGAATCATCTTTGTGATTGTGTTACTCGGCGACTCGACATTTCTTCTTCCCGGAATTGTGTTGTTAAAAGCGGAAGATTGTATGACACCTCTTTTAAGACTGTCCTTAATACCGTCGTTTCATAATCATTTCAGAATGGTGCATTTGGCGATGTAATAATTATTGTGCCTTTGGTGTTCCTGTAGGTAAATATTTATTGTAAATATCTCTGAACTGTGGTGGATTCAAAAGTACTGTAGTAGATTAATTGAATTATGTAAACACGGTACAGAAATGTGTCATACTCGGTTAAATCAGCTTTTGATCCAAATACCCGAGAACAGCCACGCTGTTGCTTCATTATGATTTGCAAACTTTCTCGGTATTTTAGTTAAATACGTGCATGTTTAATGTACAGTAGGCTATTTCCCAGATTTATGGTGGACGATCCACATGAATTGTGATTGGAGCCACCTAGTGTCTATTATTGGGATCGCATCGGATTATTGCTCGTTATTCCATTGCAATTTCCATATCGATATTGAAGTACATCTATGTATTTAGTTAATAGATTTCTCATAAATGATTTCCAATTTAGCCGCACCAAAGACATTTAAACTAATTATGTTATTCTGCTGAAGAAAGCTACAGGGATCATTGTCCATATAATTTATTATTTAAAGGTTAAATAGACAGTCGTGACCACAGATTAGCTGGAACGGCAACATTAAGCAGGCTGCTGTTGAGACCTTCTTTAACGATGGACGCTGAGGCCTTTTATGTTATTCGCTTACTGGCAAAATGTATTTTAAAGCTTTTGGTGGTAATTATAGTTTAAGTGGGTGGTGAAGCTTGTTTTTAGATTTTTAAATAATTCATTATAAGACTATGCTCTGTATATGTGTTTATGTGTATTATATACTACAACTGAACAGAATGTCAAAACTTGTAATTAGATAATGCAGGACATTGGTGGTGTTTTAACATTATTACTATTTATTGAGCAATAACTGATTGATGCCGCATATTATGTATTAGGTGCAGTAATAGTTAAGGTGTCCTGAGTTATTCTCAGCGCTGCCTGCAATAGGCTCCAGGCCCCTGTGACCCTGAGCAGGAGACGGTGGATGGATGTTCTTATTTTTTCTTATTTTTACTGTTCGGAGGTTAAACTGGTCAAAATGCATACTTTGCCCAGTCGTTGAACTCTCTCGCTCACTGGTATGTTTCTGACAGTATGATTAACAGTTAGAGGTTTGAGGCATTTCTTACGCATTTTTTGTATTTCATTAAACAAAGAACAAGACGTCCTTTGTAACGGATTAACAACGGAAGTCTGAAATGCCTTTTAGGAGACTGAATGGATCTTCAGTTTGCTCCCTGAGCTCAGAAAGCATGACTATCTTCAAGATCTCCATTACTGTGTCGCCTGTGCAAATATGAATTGACTTCGGTGACTTTGATAGTATTTGTAATGGCGCTAATAAGTATTCATCCTATGCAGTGTATTTGTACATAATCCAGCATAGATGCTATTTACTGGGAAAAGGATTCGGCAGTTAAACACTCAGAAGCACAAGGCGGACACACACAGAGTCAAGAAGGAATGACATTGTGGAAATATCTAGACATGACTGTAAGATGGAGGATGTTCAGTCTGCATGTGCAGTGTATTTGTATGTTAGGTAGATTTCCCAGTGAATAAGCAGATTTCCGTTAAACTGGTTAAATGACACATAATGTAAAGAAAATCAATATATTTTTGTGTGTGTGTTTCTTGACAAGGATAACCTCAATTTTATAAAAAATATGTGAATGTAATCAAGAAACTAAAATAGCCAGAAGTCATGTATTTAGTTTGGTTACTTATGGCTAACGTTAGGTTTAGGTTTAGGGCTGGGTAGGGGTTAGGGATAGGTTTAGGGTTAGGGTTGGGTAGGGGTTAGGGTCGTCATGGCTGGGTTGGGTGCACTTTTTAGTACATTTCAGTTGGACATACTAATGAAGCCGGGGTTATGCCCATAGAAGTGAATGGAGAATCGCCATAAAGATATGAATACATGGACTGTGTGTGCGTGCGCGTGTTTCCTGCCAGAGAGGAAGGATTTCAGGGAGGCTGTTTCTGTCTCAGTGGAGCCTGTCTCCCATCTTCATTCCTCATACAAAACCAGAGTTGCAGAACAGCTGCATTCTGGGTAGGATGGACACCTCGGGAGCCAGTTCCCCTGAGTGGGTCAACATTGCCTGACAGTACCCCCATGCAGTTATAGGGTGGTGAGATATTCAGGGGAAATTAGACAGAAGGGGAATGACCTGTTAATCGCTGGGATTAAGGAGAAGGCTTGGGGGTAGGGCAGGTGTAAGACTAAGCGGGCTGTGGGGAGCTCACCAGATTGGTGGAGGACCCGCCCTCCCAAGAGATATGGGCCCGCCTCCATTTTTCTGGGCTGATTAAGGATTATGAAAAATATTTTCCCGATTTGGCCAAATTCTGGCGCCAGTATGCAGTGACACCACCAGGTCTGAGCCTAAGTGAACGGGCTCTCAGTCTTTGTCCTCCTTTCTGCCTCCGCCGCTGTGGATGCCGTCCTCCCCCCCTGCTCGAGTCTCCCCCTCTCCCGCGGACCTTTACGCGAACACAGCCGCATCAGAGGAGGCGTCACAGAAATAGCGGAGACTTTACATCCACTCCTGTCAGCTGCTCTGCCGCCTCAGCGTTTCCCGTTGTCCGTGTCGCTGCCGATTCCCGTGATTTTTTTCTCTCAGCTTTCTAGCCATCTTTTACCCCAGTGCAACCCGCGATGCTTTGCCTTGTGTAACTTTACGCTCTCTCTCACGTTTAAATATCTTTAAAGATCTAATGGCATGAAGCACATTGTGTGTTGGGGTGGCAGACAGAGTGTTTTAAAACAAATGGGTCTTTTTAAATAACAAACTGATAAGCACTGACTTTCAGCACGAACCAAAGCACCTTAAACTATAACAAACAACTTAAATACAAACGGAAAGCCCCACCCAGAGCCCCACACACGGGGGCTCCTTTCTCCATGCTTCCTCACATCCTCCTAGCTGAGCCAGTAAAAACCCCTAACTGGGCAATTATTCAAACACAGGCCAGCTGGGATCCATCAAGCAGGTTAGCGGTAAGTAAGGGGCTGGCCATCAGTCGCCATGGAAATGCCGGCACTCTCCTAGACCCAGCCCTGAGTCGTCGCTCACTCCACACTCCCTAACTTCACTAATTTTATTTATTTATTTTTGAAAATTTGAGTTACCAATATTAATTAAGTCAGGGTTTATTCCCCCCCTCCCTTGTTAAACCACCTGTGTCCATTATTCTGCACCCTATAGATTTATTAAAAGCAAAGGTCAGCCTGAGAACAGAAGAACTTAATCTAATCCAGGTTTCTTCTGAGCGTGTCTGCGTACTGTTGAGAGATCTGTTCTCCTCGATTTGATTTGCAGTGTATCCGTGAGGCACTCTGGTGTACGTTTCTGTGTGTGTGTGTGTGAGAGAACCTGCGCATGTGTGTGTGTGAGAGAGAACCTGCACGTGTGCACGTGTTTCTTAAGGGCCAGATGGGAAAGCCCGGTAAAACCACATCTTGTATCATTTGAAAATCTGCCACGTCTTGTATAGATGCCTGGATGTAGCGTCTATATTAAAAACGAGAGTGGGGTTATCATCAAACATTTAACAACTATTATTTAAAAAGAAAAGTGCAGAGAGGCACCTCTGTCAGCCTGTCACTTTGTCACCACGGCAGGCTGTCACTTTTTCACCACGGCAGGCTGTTGCACGCTGCTTGCTGCTGGATTACCGTGCGTGCTTGTGCACACCGCATAGATACTGCTGGCCGACACGGGTCGATCCCAGCTGGGGGGGTTAGGGCTGGTTTAGCAGGGGAGTGAGAAGGGATTGTGGAATGTCTGGGAGGGATGGTAGGTGGGATTAACGGGACCGAGGCTTGGGAAGCAGGCTGTGACCCTCCAGTCGCAGTTCTGCTGTCGCAGTTCTGCTGTCGCAGTTCTGCTGTCGCAGTTCTGCTGTCTGTCTGTTAATCGCTACGAAGGCGTTGGCCTGTGACTGTTTCCTGGGGTGCCGGAGTCTAAACTAGTGTTATAATACTCTATTCATTTATAACTTAGACTGTATCTGAAATTACATACGTTCCTTAAAAGTTACATCCAGGTTAAAAATACTGTGCTGGTCCTAGACAGACAACTCAGCTGTATAAATTACAGTTTGGCGACTTTTTTTCTCTAAAAGCTTCTGACCCTCAACTTGAAAGGTCCTTATACCAGTTTATTATCGGTGTGAATCATGTAGCTGCTAGAGGGATCCTGGCACCATTGGGCCCTTGAGCGAGGCCCCTAGCCCCAGTTTCTCCAGGGTGCTGCGTACTGGGTGAGCCTCCACTCTGATCCCAAGCTTTCCTCACCTCTACGTCGCTTTGGACAATCAGGTGAAAAGACATCAGCTCCCCTTGAGCTTCGCTGCTCAGACCCCTAATAAATTAATTAATGCTCACTTAATGCTCACTTAATGCTCACTTAATGTTCACTTAATGCTCACTTAATGTCCTATCCCCAAATGCTTAGTACCTAATAGCAAACTGGTATGCATACCGCTTAATTTTATAGGAAGCGTACAGCCTTTAAAAATAACGCTTTATATTATTTTATTTTCAGTTATTGCAAACTGTCTTGTCATCCTCTTGTCAGTATTTCACCAAACTGTCCTCTTTTTTATTGTCACTGTCACTTGTCTCTCCATTTCTGTATCCCTTTATCTATCCATCTTGCAGTAGCTTATTCTGAACCAGGTAATGAAGAAGCCTGGAGCCTGTCCCAT